GGACGCGGTCCGCCCAACGCGTGGGTGGGCTGCGGGAGGCGGGGGGGCTCCCCTTGTTCCGTGCTGGGGTGCAGAGGCACGCTGGTGTCCCTGCAGCCCCTGCCTGCACGAAGGCAGGTCTGCAAACGCACAGCCCCAACCCCAGCATCACCATCCCGGGGCCAGAGAGCTCGCTTCTGCTCCCCTGGTCAGGCCCTTCCTGACTCTGTCTCTGTTGCAGCCTCCGGAGGAGCCAGAGGTGAAGCCGGAGCCTGGCCCCGTAGAAGATTTTGAGAGGACGCCGAGCGGCCGCATCCGTCGGACGTCGGCCCAAGTAGCCGTCTTCCACCTTCAGGAGATAGCGGAGGACGAGCTCGCCAGGGATTGGACCAAGCGGAGGATGAAGGACGACCTGGTGCCTGAAACGAAGCGGGTGAGAAGCCTTTATTTCTCCTTTTTTTGTGTGTGCTGGCCGTGTAGAGAGATCCTGGGACGCCAGCGTGGCCCCAGCTGGCTGAGGGCTCGCACGTCTCATTTTCTGCGCGTCAAATCAATTAGCTGCGATGGCAAATTTACTGCTCAAGAGCCCACCCGGCACAGGCTGAGCCCCAGGGATCCGGAGGCTCCGTACGAGCTGGCAGGAGGCAGCTTTGCCCTTTCCACTGCCAGGACCCAAATCTAAACGGAGCAAAAGCTGGTGCCTCGTGGGCGGTGGGGAGATCAGAGTCCAGCCCGGAGGAGATCATGGAGGGAAGTGGGTTCTGGTCCGTGCTCGGCGGTGAAGTAGGGGTTGGCAGCCAAGAGGAGCACATGAAGAGAGCGAAGGTCGGATCTGAAACGATCTCCCTCACACTGTCTGAGAGCAAAGATGCCCCAGATGGAATTTCCTCCCTTCCACGGCTCCTCCTTCGTTTCTGGGAGATGCCTCCTCGGAGGTGAAGGGCATGCGGGGGAAGCCGGAGCGTGGAGGCAGGGCTGAGCCCTGCGGTCCCCGGCAGCGGTGCACGCATGGCCTGGTGCTGCGGGATCCACGTGGTGAAAGCCCGGAGCTTCGTGGGGCCGTTGGAGTAACGCGTTGAGTCAGGCATCCCGCCTGGCCGTGGGAGGAGGTGGTTCCTGGGACTGTCCCTGAGCTGAAATTCCCTCCGGGAACGCTCCTTCTGGACCATAAAAGGAATGAAGCAACGGCAAATCATAAACCTTTTCAGTGTAAAAGGGAAAAAAAAGAGGGAATCGGAGTTTTGTAATCCTGTGGTCGATACTTTTTGGCCAGCGCCAGGTCTCAACACAGAGCCATCCTGGAAGTCTCTGTGCAACCACAGCCTGTTTCTTGAGCAAGTGCCCGTGCGGTGAGGTGAGAGGTCTTTTCCTTGCTCTGAACAGCCGAGCATCTCCTGTCCAGTGCACCCAAATTCACCTTGGGCACATTGCAAAGATGGGAGCGAGGAGCAGAGGGCAGCAGGAGCTTTGCCGCAGCCGGAGAGCGTGGCAGTGCCTCTGCCGTGAGACCCCAGCCCCAGGGAGCTGCCCTGGGCTGGGAGAGCGGCCCGAGTCCCGGAGCCAGCCTGCGGAAACGACGCAGCTCAGCCTGCGGAAATGACGCAGCTCGCCCCTGGAAAATGGGGGACACAATGGCAGAGCTTCAGCTGCCGTGCCGTGCCGCTGCCGCAGCCTGTCCCGCGCTGTCCCGCGCGGTGCGCGGCTGAAAAATCAGCCGGCAGACGAACCGGCGTCTGCCTTACCCGCCCTGGCACCCCGGGGAGGGATGAGCCGGCGCGGGACGGGGTCTGGCCACGGTGCTGCCGTCTGCCTTGGAGCAGAGCTGGGGGTTTTAGGGTCAGATCTGGTTGCAGACTTTTTATTTCCTCATTGCTTGGTGTTGTCGCTGTTGGTTTGCAGATGCCTTCAGCTGCAGTACCTTTGTAGCGTGAAGGAGTCGAGCCCGAAGTAGCTGTTTTGTTACAGATGCTGTGGGAGGAGAGGTGTGGTGCTCTCTGCTCCCCCCACCAGCCTCAGCACTCACATCCCCCTCCTTCCTCCTGGAATTGCTCCCCTTACTCCTGACTTGGGGTGTTTTCTGTTGGAGTTGAGGGAGCAGCCGGGAGTCCCGGGCCTGGAGAAGGGGCCCACGTGCAAGCTGACACACAGAGGCATCGTGAAGGTCTCAGCTGCTGGCAGAACGTTGCTCCACAAAATGCTGTCTGTGGTGGTGGTGGGTCTGGAGAACAAGGCTGGGGAGGGGGCTGAGGGAGCTGGGGCTGCTCCGGCTGAGGAAGAGGAGGCTGAGGGGAGACCTTCTCGCTCTGCAGCTGCCGGAGAGGAGGGTGCGGGGAGGGGGAGGTTGGCATTCCGGGTGATCCCACAGAAAAGGCAGCGGCCTCGGGGTGCGTCAGGGGAGGTTCAGGTTGGAGATCGGGAACAATTTCTGTCCTGGGAGAGCGGTCAGGCGTTGGGCCAGGCTGCCCAGGGCAGGGGGGGAGTCCCCATCCCTGGGGGGGTTCAAACACGGCAGGGATGTGGCCCCGCAGGACGTGGTTGAGCAGGCGTGGGGGGTGTTGGGTGGATGGTTGGACTTGATGGGCTTGGAGGCCTTTTCCCAC